GGCAAAACTCTGATTTGATATGCAACACTCCGATCTGATATGCAACACTCCGTTCTGATATGTAACACTCTGATTTGATATGTAACATTCTGATTTGATATGCAACACTCTGATTTGATAGGCAACACTCTGATTTGATATGCAACACTCCTATCTGATATGCAACACTCCGATCTGATATGTAACACTCTGATTTGATATGTAACACTCTGATTTGATATGCAACACTCTGATTTGATATGCGACACTCTGATTTGATATGCAACACTCTGATTTGATATGCAACACTCTGATTTGATATGCAACACTCTGATTTGATATGCTACACTCTGATTTGATATGCAACACTCTGATTTGATATGTAACACTCTGATTTGATAGGCAACACTCTGATTTGATATGTAACACTCTGATTTGATATGCAACACTCCGATCTGATATGCAACACTCTGATTTGATATGTAACACTCTGACCTTATACATCTAATACAATGCAAATATCAGTATATCTTTATTACATTGCAACTAAATAAACTGTGTAGAATACACTAGTAGAATATTATAAATAAATACAATAAAAAACTTGTGTTAAACAAGTAAACATTATTTGAAGTATTCTGTCGCTAGAAAGCTCTGTTGCTCAGTCGGATTTATAAAAATATCTAATGTGTTTCAGATTCTTCAACAAATACTTATCCATTTTGACTTCTATATATTTAAATTATCGTTACGTAATTGAAGAATTAGTTCAGTAGTTCAATATTTATGAATATTAATCATTTTGTTTATTTCTTGATTGATTTGCGGGTTATTTTATAAGTAGTCGCAATTTATTTCTAGTCTAAGAGAACTTTAGTTTCATTTGTCACAGTTGTTGTATTTATAATAGTTGCAGAGGTCACAATAACCAATTGTCCTCTCATAGACTACTATCAACGAAAATGTAAAAGCAAAATCATAAACGTTTGTGTTCAACTCCAACCTCGTGAATATTCAAGTCATGACGTCATCGTTGAATATTTACCTATGCCGCGGTCAGGTAGAGTGCACAGTGAAATACTAGGTTATTAGAAGCAACAATTATATACATTATTAACTTTATTTGAGTGAATTTCAATACAGCGGCACGCCAGTCAAATGAAATCATACTATTTACACTAATAATCTATCCGGGGTAGGTAAATTCAACCTCGTCGTTATCGATCTGTGCCCACTAATGTAAGTGCTGACTGCATGGAGATAGTTCTGTGTACACGTTATAACGACACATTACACGTCAAAGTTATGTGCACCATGTGGCGGAAGACGACGCGATGGAGGATCCCACGACGATTCTCCACTTTCAGTATTAAAATTGTACGTCTTACCAGTCACTGGAAATTAAAGTTTGTTAAAAGTTGTGGTAAATTATCACTGCACCAATTAATTCTCATTTGGCTCCGAGTACATATAAAATATCGAGACACTAAAAAATAAGTGAATATAGTGGCGTGTTGACAAATACAATTATTTCCGCATGTCATGGTCACATTTAGACGATGATTCGAATTGACGTGAACAAATCGACGGAATTATTTAATTAATACACATATTCCTAGCATACCTTTGTCGTAGACGTTACCATCATACTTGGACTCGTCCACTGTTGAGCTAGAACTGTTTTCTATTCCTCCAACTTCCGGGGAAACTCTTCCGGGTTGTCTATGTAACATCGGGGATGCTTTCTTGAGTAATGGCTGTAATGACTGTGAGCTTTCTCCTTCCTTCTTCGGGGCGCTCTTTGAAGATGTAGGAGTTGGCGGCAAAATCAGCGGTGGCATTTCTTTCTGCTTTAGGTGTTGCGGGCCAGATGGGTGCGGACGTCCAGCGTATCTGTAATCGAATACTCCTCCAAGCGTGTAATTACCACCTGGTGGTACTGTTTGTGGTTTCGGTACAACCGGACTGGTTTCAACCACTTCTTCAGGCGTTGTGTCCATTTGTGGCCGCTCACTGGGTCCGACATCGTTGGATCTCATTTCCCAACCAGATCTGTTAAAATAAACACTCACTTTTCAACATTTTCATCGCGTACGTATCCTTTAATGTCGTTTCCAAACTTTTGTTAGTTAATGAGTTCTTATTCATGATAGGGCATGGTCATCACATCATGCAAATATGCTACGACAGGCTATTTCACGTACATGACTATAATGTTCATGTTATGACGTCATTGCGAGCGAGTTTACATGTTCTCACTCCGTAAGAAGTTTAGCAAGTTTTAGATTATTCTATCCCTATCGATTAGTGTATTGCGTTGCATTCTGGGTAACGACCAAGGTGTCATGATCAGAGGCTTGTTGTCAAATATTTTCCGCAAAGCATTCCTGTAAAAATATATTTACCCACCCATTTGTGATACTTACGTTCTCTCATCAACCAATTCCAACTTTTTCTTTTTGCGCTTGCAGCATTTCTTAAACCAAGCTCCTATTCGATCACCACAGCATTTCCAGCAACAACAGAGGCACATACTAAGTAGGAAAATACATGCGATCGCTGACAATAAACACGTGACAGCCAAGCCTTCCGTTGTATCAAGCCACCAGTTGAAGGTAACGTCAGAGACTTTGGTTGGGTACGTTGGCTCGACAAGAACGATATCAAGGCCATTCAATACCACCGACGCCGAACCTTCATCATCGATTGTCATGGAATTTACCAGGGTATCTACGTAAACAAAGTTCTTCAGTTTGTCTAAATTGTCAATACCATCGGTCGAATTATCAACGAGTGCGTACATTTCTAAAACGGCGTTGCTGTTGGAATAGAAGCAAGACGCGTTGGTTATGAACTGACAATGTGTGTAACAAATAGAGATGGTGATTATGATATACTAACATCTTAATAATATCATTTGAATCTTGTACTGGTCAGACATATTTTGGCAACTGATCATGTAAATAAACTGTACCTGGCCAGAAGACGCCTTGACGACACCACGACGTCCTCGGTTTTTACGGCAGATATTCTGAACTGCCATGGTGGATAAATAGCGTTCAATGAATCCAACATCTGTGTTCGTACGGCTGTTGTGAAATCAGGCTCCGTGATACCGAGATGGACGTTAATGAGAACCAGCTCGGGAATGAACGTGTCAATCCTAATAGTGGTTATGCTGGGTAAAGTTGGGAAATAAACAAACAATAAATAAACAAATAAATAAATAAACAAATAAACAAACAAACAAATAAATAAATAAATAAATAAATAAATAAATAAATAAATAAATAAATAAATAAATAAATAAATAAATAAATAAATAAAAAAATAAATAAATAAAATAATGTATTGTGGTGAAGCAACCATCATCGTCAATAACTTACTCTGATATCATTAATGGTTTTCCACTATCTTCGGCTCGGCAGAATAACAGATACATAAATTCCGGTCTAAGTATACTGTTTACGGATACTTTACCAACACCATCCATATCGTAAAATACGTGGTCCAATAACAGTGAATATGTGACGTCAGCGTTAGCACCTAAAGTAAGAATGTGATAATTCTAATTGAATCAATGTATTACGCAACGATATTGATAAAAAAAAATACTTATATGACAGGACTAAAACATATGTAAATGATGAACACACTTTACCTCTATCGCTATCAGTAGCTTTTACAGAGTTCACGTATGACCCAATACTTGTGTCATATCGTATCTCCCAGTTATAAAAGGTCTTCTCAAATAGCGGTTCATTGTCATTGATGTCTTTAATTGTAATATTCACGTATGTAAATCCCTGTAACGAAGGCGTCCCGTCATCAGTTGCGATCACTTCGACACGTATCATCCATGGAAGTGCTTCTCGGTTCAGTGGTTGCTTTAAGATGAGTTCACCCGTCACTTCGTCTACCTCGACATACAGGCTCGGCGGGTCGATAGAATACTCGATGTTGTCGCCGTCGTCGTCTGTCGCTGCCACGGTTAAAATAGTAGTCCCACCAGGTAAGCTTTCTGATACCGTCACCACATACGGGTCTACAGCGAATTCTGGCTCGTTGTCGTTAACATTCTGCAGGTAAACCTCAATTGTGAGAATGTCACTGTTTCCGTCCGTGTCAGTCACAGATACTTCTATATTGAATGGTTCTGGAAATACGGCTTCGTAGTCCATTAGACTTGCAACTTTCAGACGGGGTACTTGATTTACTTTGAAGAATGCGCTGTATGTACTGGGTACTACGGCAAAAGTCAGATTCCATGGGTCGTCATCAATGTCAGTCACAGAAAGGTCGATTGATGACAGTATAGTGTTTATTGGCTGTACAAGAATCAGAAAAATTGAACGTTCATGTATAATATCAAGGTAAAATATATATTAATGGAGGAAAGTATTACACAAACAAATACACGTTCAACAATATAACTGTTACTATATTTGACTATTTCTTGTTATTGTTTAAAGTATAGATCTGAAATGACATCCCGAGGCCGAGGCGAACTCGATGACAGATTTAGGTTATATTGTGTATGCATCATATCGATGTAACGCTATATAAAACATTAAACGCGACAACACGAGCAGCAACAGCAGAAAACGCAGAAACAAGTTTATATCACGCCCAAGATACTAATATAAAGAGGTAACTTTTAACGTCACCCATGGTCTTGATTTGAATATTAGTGTATATTTGCACCACTGATTGCCTTGTTATTTGCTCTAGCTTTTCAATTGCATAGTATTGTGTATTTGCAATTATACACACAATTGTTGTCTCTTACCAAGTTCTCATCCAGGTACAATGTTTGGGGTTTAAGGTCAAACTGAGGCGGTTCATTTACATCTGTAATGTCTACATTAAGGGTACCAGTAGCAGTGTACTCTCCATCTGATGCTGTTACTATGACAATGTACTGGTCTACATCTTCATAATCAAAGTTTGGAGAATTGACGATACTGATATTTCCATCGTTTTCACCTGCGGAGTAAAACAAGTCTCTTAGTTCAACAGTTCCGCCATTATTTACAAGGCAGTTCGATCTTATTTCCATAATGTTTATTATGTCACCAGATACTCAAACTATTCAACTTAAATCATAATCAACCTTTCATGTCAAATCTCCCAAACCAGACTAAAAACATCGGGCCCATAATCTGTAGATTTTAGTGGCACATTCTCTTTCCACGAAATGTTCAAATTCGCTATTAAAGGGCGGTAGTCGTCGCGCCCAGCATGCGCGAGATATATGGGTGTCACATAAACAAAGATAGCGACTTTGACTGTTGCGCAGATCAACGAGTACAAACTGAGACGTTACGAAACTTTAATTAGGTATTTTTAGGTGGTTGGACGGTATCGAAGGAGTCACCGGTGGTAATTAGTGCAAGTCGCACCCAGGTAAAACCTCATACTTGTGATTTTAATTCAAAGAGCGCATTGGATTGTGAGTATATCAATGTTTATCAACACAAATGTCACACATGTGCAACGCGACGACTACCGCGCTTTGAATCTTACCGAAGTCTGCAACAAAGAATTTACTTTGGCCACTGGAGGGCGTTACACTTATTGTGAAATCTAGATTATCGCCATCGTCGTCGTATCCGTTGGCAATGAATATCCAGGCAGCGTTGATGGCGTCTTCGGGCACAGTAACAGTGGCAGGCAAGTTCAATATAACAGGTGGTTCGTTGACTTCTATTATATTTATCGTCAGTTTAGCCATTGGCCCCACATCCATACCATCGTTGCACACTATAGTAACGCCGTAGGTTGGAGTAATTTGATAGTCTAAGGACGGTGTAGCCGATAATGTTATCTCGTATGCTGGAAAGTACAATGTCATAGGTCATAGTCATCATGTTTGTAAAACAGTCGTATGATGAAATGAACATCTGCTTGAATTGAACGTTGTTGACTTGAGAGACATCACACATGCTTATTCACATTTACATTAAATTGGGGGAATTGAAAACACAAGTAACGTGTTCTTAAATAACTTGTTTAAACAATTTTCTAAAACCGTCAAGTTAACCATTGTCAGATGCTTAAATTTTGGCGGATACAATTTGCATCAAATTATATAATTAGACAAAAACATCTTAAATTCTAGCATCTGAGAAATGTGTAGTCTCCAACATCATACACACATCTGTAATGTTCTCAAAACATAAATACAGATCAGATAAAATCAGAGAAACTTGTTTTTTCTTTAATTAGAACACGATGTATTTGCTTATCAACGAAACGTGCCCTCGACAATAGTTAACAATACTTAAATACACCAACACCAAATACGACACTTACTTAGAGTATCAAATACAAAATTGCCATCGTTTGGATTTGAAGAAATTGTACAGATTGCAGTATCACCATCCACGTCATATGGGTTTAATGTGAATACCCACAATCCTCCTGCAGAATCTTCACTGACGTTCACCGTCGAGGGAAGATTAAGAATTAATGGGCCACTGTTTTGGTCCGTGACTTGAACATAGAGCGGTTGAGTATCCGTGTTGCCATCATCATCTACTATTGTGATTGTCAATGTCCAGTAGTCTTCGAAATTATAATTTAATCCAGGAGGAACAACTTCGATGTTGCCTGAAATAAACACAATGTATATTATCAGGTTTATTAAATACATTGAGAGTTACATCTGTTGGTGAATTTTAGTGTGTACAATATTTATGATTAAATAAATAGTAAATAACAATTATCAATCACTTTGTAAGCATTTATTTTCGGAAAATTGACAATGGATCCTATAACTATATCGTACTAAATAGACGAGTGCGCAATAATGATGATATATTTAGTTGTATGTTAAATCTACTAACTTGAATCGAGATGATAGAGATATCGATATTTGTAATAGACATTTCATAATTCAGTCAGAAAGTATTGTTTTAATTGTACATATATGATTTGTTTTGTATTAGTTGTTTTTGTTACATGTAACTGGGGTTGGGATAAATAAACAACCTAAGTCATTTTGGAGCAAAATTACATCCGTTTGGAACATTATACCGTGGGATAAAATATTATCGTTGTTTTAACACATAATTAATTTATTTTGTAAATATAATACTCGAATTTCTTTTTTGAAATTGTCAAATACCGTATTTCCATAGACACAGTGGAACCAAGATATTTTTATTAGTATGCGAATTGTTCTTACCTAAAGCATCTATTGTGAAAGGGCCATTAGCTGGATTCGTTGTCATGGTGAATGTAGGGACGGACGCAGTGTCGTTTATGTCTACATCCAAAGTTTCCACAACAAATATTTGTCCATGCATTGTTTCTCCAACAACTTGTGTATCGGGAAGATTGCTTATGACAACTGGTTCATTCTCATCTAATACATTAACGGTCAAAATGGCGGTTGATACATCGTTATTGACATCCGTTGCTTCTAGAGTAATGTCCCATGTTGTAGTACCAAATTCGTAGTCAAAGCCTGGATTTACGGTGTTTTTAATAGTTGCAACTGCAAGAAAAGAAAGCATATCACTGATTAGAATATTTCACCTGCACGTGACAGTACAGTTATTGGTAGCATACTAATAGCTGTCGGAATATTAATATGTGTTATCTTTGTTTTTCATTATGAATATCTTTTTCTACCTGCTTCACCAGCGGTAGAGACAACACTGTCAATCAGGAAAGGTCCGCCAGCGGGATTCATTGACAGGATGGTAATAGTAATCCCGCTAGCATCGGCGGGGTTCTCGTCGTCAGACACGGTGACTCTCTTCACTATTTCAGATGTTGTTACCAGTTCTGGCACTGTCCCAGTGCCGGGTAAGTTGAGAAAAGTGGGAGGGTCAGGGGAATCATTTATATCCACTGTAAGTACAGCAGTTGCAGTGCCAGCAGACGGATCGGCAAGATCTGTTACTATAACATCAAGCTGCCATTGCTGTGTTGTCTCGAAGTCCAGCCCGGGGGGAAGCTGTACTAGTACATCTGCCGTGTTAGTGTCACTCGCTAAACCTGGAAATAGATGAATCACCATGTTTACAATATAGTGTAACACCAGTTATAATCTTCTTTCATTTATGATTAGCTTTTGACTTGTATTAAGACGACTTACCTTGTACCAGTACAAAAGGCTCATTTCCCACACCAGGATTTGGTGATATACTTTCCAATGTGTAATAATAGAGGGCGCCAGTACCTTGCCCACTGGCGGAGTATCCATTATAGACAGTATCTCCATCTACGGATGCCTCGCTTATTGCTACAGTATGGCCAGTTGGACTAATTGTCAAAGCTAAAATACAAAACCACAAATATTAACTATCACGTGACGTAACTCGTGCATTACAGATATTTTTTATGTTCAATTTTGCCTCATCAATGCCATCCATAATTTCCCCCCGTAAATGATAGTTTACACATTATATACCAATTAAACCGTTGTTTTCTTTTTTGTAACTTTATTTTTATAACTGTAAAACGAGTTAATAACTGTATATTCTCCTCTATCTATATTCTGTGTGGTGGATTGAGGACCTAATGAATGAATTAACCATTTGCAAATATAAAGTGTATATATGCAATGATTCAAATCATTGGAAACTATTCAAATAAAAATGGAACCATCGTGTTAAATGTGATTCATATTTATTGGTGAATTTTGTAATCGAACGATTCTTGCTCGCTCTCACTTAAAACACTGTCCTTCGAGTTTCAACGGCTTGAACAATCGTATTTTGTTGTTTTTATTCCATTGTTAAACTTGACAGCGATTCCCGTGTAGCCTTGTACTGTCCGATGACACCCGCCAATACTACTCTTACCAACGGACACGGACTGCTTAGTATTTGTATAGACTGTAATTGGTATAAGAAAACTGTTTACTTCTGTTCAATCTGTCGCGGTTGAGTGGACTTGGGAGACCGCTAGCACAGTAAATGACGACAATGCACGATAGTTTCTTTTATTTCACGTCTCCTTTGACGCACATATCGATAATTGATTTTATGGTATAACGACTTTCCCTTAGTAACGAGACAAACTAAAACGCTAATCCGTGGCTAGCCTCCTAAGCAACTAAATACAAGAGTATACACTGCTAAAAAATGTGAAGATAGCATAATCCCTGGTTTTAAGACACCGTTACTCATACGGTGGGGGTAGAACACAAAGCGTGTGCAGTCACGTGTTCCGACCTATTAACCCGTCATACCTCGCCAACTCCCAACGGAGCCTTTGATTTACGATATTTTAGTTGTGTGTTATTTTGATAGAAAAAACGCCGACTTCTTTGTTTTTACGTGTAAATTAAATTTTTGTATGAAAGACGCGGTATACCGTAACATATTAAATGTTTATGGTATTTATTTATATGCATTCATTTCCACTTTCATCAAGTACGTGTTCGCAGTGATAACAAGTTTACCGTTATGCATGCATCCCACTGACGTTGAACAAAGCAAACCTATAATACTGTTTCAAGATACTAGTAATAATACCTCTCCGTACCAAATTGTCTAACTATTACGTTCCTCGTTGGAACTCGTCGCTCGCTCACTCACTCACTCACAAAAAAACAATGTGATATACAAACCAGTGACACAATATGATACAGAATCCAGTGACACAATATGATACAGAATCCAGTGAAACAATGTGACACAGAATCCAGCGACACAATGTGTTGTAGAATCCAGTGACACAATGTGATACATAATCCAGTGATACAATGTGACAGAGAATCCAGCGACACAAAGTGTTGTAGAATCCAGTGACACAATGTGATACATAATCCAGTGACACAATATGATACATGATCCAGTGACAGAATGTGATACATAATCCAGTGACACAATGTGACACAGAATACAATGACACAATGTGTTGTAGAATCCAGTGACATAATGTGATACAGAATCCAGTGACACAATGTGTTACAGAATCCAATGAAACAATGTGTTGTAGAATCCAGTGACACAATATGATGCATAATCCAGTGACACAATATGATACAAAATCCAGTGAAACAATGTGTTATAGAATCCAGCAACACAATGTGACACATAATCCAGTGACACAATGTGATACATAATCCAGTGACACAATATGATACAAAATCTAGTGAAACAATGTGTTATAGAATCCAGCAACACAATGTGACACATACTCCAGTGACACAATGTGGTACATAATCCAGTGACACAATATGATACAAAATCTAGTGAAAAAATGTGTTATAGAATCCAGCAACACAATGTGACACATAATCCAGTGACACAATGTGATACATAATCCAGTGACACAATGTGATACAGAATACAGTGACACAATGTGATACATAATCCAGTGACACAATGTGATACACAATCCAGTGACACAATGTGACACAGAATACAATGACACAATGTGTTGTAGAATCCAGTGACAGAATGTGATACAGAATCCAGTGACACAATGTGTTACAGAATCCAGTGACACAATGTGTTGTAGAATCTAATGACACAATGTGATGAAGAATCCAGTGACACAATGTGATACCAAATCTAGTGACACAATGTGATAAAGAATCCAGTGACGCAATATGATACACAATCCAGTGACACAATGTGATACCAAATCTAGTGACACAGTGTGATAAAGAATCCAGTGACACATTGTGATACAGAATCCAGTGACTCAATGTGTTGCAGAATCCAGTGACACAATGTGATACAAAATCTAGTGTCACAGTGTGATAAAGAATCCAGTGACACAATTTGATACAGAATCCAGTGACTCAATGTGATACATAATCTAGTGACATAATGTGATACCAAATCCAGTGACACGATGTGTTGCAGAATCAAGTGACACAATGTCATACAAAATCTAGTGACACAATATGATACAGAATCCAGTAACACAATGTGATACAGAATCCAGTGACACAATGTGTTAGGGCACCTAGGGACACAATGTGATGCAGATTGCAATGTTTAACTGTATTATTTTGAGTTTAGATTCATAAACTAGAACATATGTACCATCATCATTATGTTGTTGTCGTTGTTGTTGTTGTTGTAGGAAACGCATGCTCCGTCTATGGTAGCATCAATTACGAAACATCTGCGATATTTAAATTTCAGTTTTGTTTCAACGGAGAAAGCCCAATATTAAATAAATGTGCTTGTTGAGATTCAATGGCACTCAATGGCAAGTCTCCGGTGTGTATTGTTTGTTTGTTGTGTACACACCCCGGGGCTACATATTTAGTGGGTGTACATTTATTTATACGGTACAGCACTGGGATTAAAAATAAGGTCACCAACAAGAACGAAATAAGGGTACCATACAAAAACGGAACATGGGGTTTTAGTTTGGTTATATATGAAAATATGGTAGTCCACCTGTTTGTTTATCAATGAAGCATCTCTTAGGAGAAAAATGGAAAGAGTTCTCAATATTTATACAAAGTTATACTATTCAATTAGTTGCCTGTATTAATCATGGCTAGCTTCCCGTGGATAACCAATGTGTATCTTCGGACACTCCTAAATGAACTGACAATAGTTAAGGCGCACCCCATCTACAATTGTTCTGTAAGCACTCCTCTGACTCCATATTTCACAGCCGTACGTTAAAGTTAGACGAATGAATTTGTCCAATAGAGGGTAAAGTTATAATAACTGTATTTTGTTTTATATTTTTCTTTCAGTAGAAATAATACTATTTGATGTTTTTTCGTCAGGTTAGTCATGGCCACAAATAGTTAAAACCCACAAACTTAACATTTCTAGTAACAGTTACAAATGCCAGAACACGTTTGATATCATCGCAGATATTCCACAGAACTGAATTGAAAGTTACATTACTTTGGAGCTAGCCCAAAAATATCACGTCTAAACATATCAGTAGGGTGAACAATAGTTTGGTATACGCCTTTGGCAGTGTTAGAAGCGCCGCTCTCATACCACGGGGTAACACTAGAGCCGAATACCAATTAGCCGTACTTCGAATTGCGGACGCCGTTACGTTTTAAGACATCCATGTGTACAAGATAGATAAGATTACGCAATATACCAACTAACATTTAAAAGACGATACAATAACTTGGGAACATGTGTTGGATATAAAATATGATTGCACCGACTGATCTATCTTTACAATTGACTGAAACGAAGATTATACTCACCTGCTTCAATGCACGTTAAACGCAATACAAATAAAATTGCCACCAATATCATAATTTCAGTGGTAGTCTAAAACGAACTGTATGCTTAGAGACCTAAATTAATAGCGCTGTGATCCTATATCAATGCAAGACATGAGACTGTCCTTCCTGTCGACAGTTACAATACATAAAGTATGTATTGTTGTTGTTTACAAGGATGCACACAGTGAGACGGTTTACGTATCATCAGTGTTATCTGAGGTCGCATGGTCACAAAACATTCCTTTATAGCACGATTTCCAAAGACTTGCGATCACGTCGTCCTATGTCTTTGTTCAAACGAACAAAGCTGTGCAATTTTAAGAGGGTTAACGTCAATGTACACTTGTTATCTATTATAGACATGTTTTCGTTTATATTTAAAACACGGCACAAAATTTGGAGCTGGAGTTATTATAACAGGAGATGACCTCAGAGGAAGAGAATTCATACAAATTCAATTTCATCATTGTTAAAGCAGGTTTTGGTGTATGCTACACAACGGTTCGACGATTGGGCAATCGACGCGCCAATTACAAGGCGTGTGACGCACTCGCTAGTCATTGCTGTCAGTCGCAAATATATTAAAAGTGCAGACGTCGCGTGAATGAGTCATATGATCATTCAAGTCACGCCATACAAAACGACATTTCCGGCAGACTAGTTTTGTAAATTAGGTGGAAAAATGATGCTGTGGTAGTATATATGACGCCATCCGATCGATTCACAGCACAAGTCACTTTCAATACCGGTCATACTGGTCAATTATGTCTTGAATAATACTGCACAAAGCATGTCTAAACGCCGGATATACATAATCCAGATACAAAGTTTGAATGAATCGCCATGTTCTGCTCAGAAAAACGGTTCTGGCTAAGTTTACAGACTGTGATTTTACGATTTTAAACAAAATGAACTCTACTTCGACAAATTTGATCAAATCACATAATAATATTACCTAAGCGCATACTACTTGTGTAAAACTTTCAACTGAATCAGCATATATTAGTCAGATTTTGTACTGTATTTCGAGTATAGTTTTGTGTGTTTTCTGTTATTTATAATGTTTTGTTTTGTTTCTCATGTATATCTCTTTGCAGAACTCCATTGGAAATCACAGAACTGCTTTTGAAGAAAAATGAATTAGAATATCCTGGTTAAATATAGTACAACAAATATAGTAAATCGGCATGAGCATTAATAAAAATAAAATGGTAACCAGTAGAAAAATATGATGACGTGTACCTATGACAAAATATGAATAATCATGATATAAAATCGCCATGTTCATCACTGAGAAACTGTTCAGGACATGATTTAGCATTGTACATGGTCTTCGTGATTTTACTATATCGGGGACTAATAATGACACAATACACACCACAGTATCGTGTGGTGTACGAATCTTTATTGCTGTATAATTTACAAACATTCATTAAAACAAAGTAAATTAACAAACTTATAGAAAGTATTTTCAAAATTCATATACATATGCGTGACATTAGGCGAATAAATAACGGAGACACGTTACTGCTGCCAGCGTTTCATCAACGAATGACGTAAGAAACTTAGTTCGATGACCCTATATATTTTCATTTCTGAATTTTGAACATTACAGTAACCCAACTCTTCTTGCTGGATTTCAGAGATTTCTGAGTATTTTTTAAGGGTAGCAAATTAGCTTAACAGGTCATTTTACTAGATTTACTTGCCAAGTATATATATGTTGATCAATAAATCGACCACGAATTATTGATACATATTTATACCCTTGATTATAAACTTCATTGATTGATCTACTAAAATAAATTACGAGAATGATAGCCCGATGTGAATATTAGCCCGTTAAATATCAAATGAACGACATGGTTAAACTGGATAAACTGAATACAACGTTTCTGAATAAAGTTACTTTTAGCGCTCACTGTAATTCGCATTAAAAATAATTAAATTAAAACATAGTTCATATATGTATAATCTGTTATTCAAAGCTCGTAATTACTAGATTAAATTTGGTTGTAAACATTTTTCACATTCTCAATATACTACGAATACGTTCTTAGTAATATACATTACATTCACGCTTACGACGTGGAGAGAAACAACTGTATATAGTCCGGCGTTACAATGTTGATGCAATCACTGGAAAACAAAACAAAAATAAATTCTTTTGTGTTTTAGTTGTAAATAATGGAGAAAATATGTATTGGGATACACATTACTATGTGTATACAACACATCACATGAAAGTTGTCTAACAACGTTTGCATTATAAATAAGAATATAACTTTCAAAAAGGTAGTCGGCCTTTAACAAATACTCGCCAATATAGTACAGTACTGCTCCGTTCATATTTAGGGCCGAGAACGTGTTTTAAAAACAGTAATTTCGAAGAATGAGTCAAATGTTAAAAATAATTATTGGAGGCCAAATTCTAGAAAAGTGTAAAAGGACGACCATTAACGGACTATCGTTATCACTCGTCTGCCTTAGGGAGCTGCTGTTAACTCCATCCTTGCGATAAAAATGAGCCTCTATGATGATGATTTGTTTGTGATATTGAGGCATTTTGAAAAATAAGACCCAAAGTGCACTAAAAAATAACAATGCCGTTCGGTGTATTTATTTTATCGTGGACGCATCAAGAATGCATATTTTAATTTTATATTTGTCACCGAAACAAATGATATGGATAACATGCTATAAATTACGTGTGAGTATACAAGGCGTGCATACCAATTACACTAATAATGCATTCAGTACAATATTTACCTTATATCTTGGCTTGACATCGAAAGTGACATTGTTGTTGTTTGCGTGCATTGGGTCGCCATGTTTGATGTTTACTTGATGCCCTATTGGTGTTTTTTGAGTCTGACCAAAAGAGAAAGCTGCAAACAGAGGCAATAACGTTTAATTAATTTTAATGAGATATTGATGAATAACACAAATGTATTGAAATTTGTCATTCTAGTATCATCAGTTTCATGTTTCTGGTTTCGCCCAGCCCAGATGGTGTACTCATCACAGTAGACTTGATACAGAATATTTCTATTTTCGCATCTGGTCTTATGTTCTAGTAATGGGTTGATTGCCAAGGCGTCATTGGGTCAGTTCGTATAAAATGTACAATAGATCTAGAGTGCCTAGTGTCTTTAGTGTAGGTGTACTGCGCACATATTGTTACGGTAATATAAGTCTGTTTTTGAATACTGTCATTAATTTCTACTTTGGGTCAGATAAGTTGGGGGTAATCTGTTGATCTTGTGCGATGAGAAACAACTTTTTTATTTGTTATATGCCTTGTTCAACTAAGTATTACAAATCACTGCCGACAATGAACGCAATAATTTATCATGTACTCAAAGAAATCACGTAATACAGCTTCATACAGGAATGTACTACATGTTATGCCAAGTGCATGAATGACGTGATGGATTAGTATTAGAACATTGTTACCATTTGCTAATTTTCTAACTAGTATTGTAATTAATTTATTTAAAAAATATCTGGATATTTGCCTGGCAATTTTGTTTTCAACTTAGAGCCCTGATCCAAAGTCTTCATGGAACCATCTTTTCCGAACTCATCTTTCTTGGAATCGGTTGTTGCTAAAGCTGGTTTCTTGTCACCAACGAAAGTATCATATTCTTTCCTCAAACTGGCCGTTTTTGAATAACGCCCATTGTAGTTCCTAAGTCTTCTATCTGATGATTTCTCCTGGACAGGCATGTTACGTGGCTGTGCTGGTGCCACTATCAGCGGTTCTCCCTTCGTCTTCGGCTCCACATCATCTTTAATTATTATGGAGGGACGAACATCATGTCTAAAAAATAGGGGAACAATGAAATAAACACTTGTCTCTTAAAAAAACAAAATATTAACATGGTTTTTTTCTTCTTTTTGTTGTCCTTATAGTACAACTTTAGCACAACCACAATAAGGACATGATTCAATACATATTAGTATTATCATGCACACAACAACTTACGTTGATTGTTCTTTCACGTCAGGTAAATGTGATCTGTTACACACTGATTTACAACAACCACACTTGCGTTGCTTGTAGCACCTTGCCAATCTTGCACAACATCTGTACTTCCAGCAGCAGCATAACATTAGACAAAGAAAACCAATAAAAGGCAATGAAGAAAGAACGCCTATTGTTATCAATCCTTCTAACGTGTCGAGCCACCAATTATAACTATTCGCTGTCTGCACGTCATAAGTGGGTTCTACCTTCACAATAGGAAATGTATCAAACTCTGTGCCGGTGATGATCGGTGTTGGAGTACCAGTAGAGTCGATTGTCATTGCGCCTACTAAATCTTGGAAATAAACGAATTCCTTAACTTCCTCAACGTTTATCTGGTATTCCGTAAGGTCACTAGTTAATGCATATGCCTCCACAACTGCCGTACTGTAATCAATCATGGTTGTAACATAGTATAAGAAATTACTTCAAGACAGCGGGTATTTGCATCATGCCGAACAATTAAATTGAGGCACGTTCTATCCAGTAGTCCGCTCGAGTGGTGTTTTTCTTTGAGGCATACGGTTTTTTGTTCATATAGTAATAATGCTCATCTGATTGTGATGTATTTATTATTGAACATTTACTAAATGGAACACGAAAAACAAAATAAGAAAATCAAACCCAAACATTCTGCACGTGAACGAAAACAATTACATTGCCAAAAAATGTTGATTACACTAATATCACGTACAACCGATGTACACATTAAGCTGATGTAAGCAAGTGCCAAGTGTATAATTGGATAATAACGATGTGCTTACTTTTCTAGAAGGCGACGAGAAGTGACCTGTAATTCATTACGCGTGTGGACAGTAGATATACGGAAATACCATGGGGTGAAAATACCATTTAGTGTATCAACAAATTCCCTTCGTTTGTCCGCTGTGAATTCGCTTACTGAAATCCCCAGGAATATGTCAACAAGTACCAACTGTGGTATGAAAGTATCGATACGAATTGTGGCAACACTGTGAAGAAATTTGTTATAATGTTAACTTTGTTACATTTTTTCACTGATTGGAGCATGTTGTCATTTGTCTGTTGTATATTCTTTATGAATATGGATTAGTAATCTCACTTCAGAGACTATAATTGTGGATTTATATTAGGTAGTTTTACTTGATACCCATGTGACTTCCATGCGACAAGTGGAATTATTTTAAATTGTATTCATTAAGTTCACTCGATATATTTTTGCGTTTGTGTAAGTAATGTGCATAGCTGTTGACTGGGTTCTTGATGACGATGAAAATATTATTGTTGTTGGAACAATAACGCAATATTTGCATGTGGAATGTGTTCTGGCGAATATGTTTCAATGCGTGCACCTGCAGATACTCGGCGACATTACTACAGAGTGAAACTTAGCTACGGAAATGAAGCTATAACTTTATGGAGTAGGCTACAATGCGTGTGTAACTGTAAATTGTTGGTCTTGTTTGTTGTAACAAACTTACTGCGATGCATGTGGCGGTGTTGCATTATCTTCTGCATAGCAGATTAATAAGTATTTCTGTTCTGGATGCAATTTATCTGAAACAATAACTCGGCCATCTGTTTCCATGTTGAATCGAGGATGTGAAAGATACATCTTGTACGTGATACCACTGCTCACATTATCTGCACCTATTAACGACGAATCTTAGATATTAGTGATTTTAACCGAACTCAGCGTTTTCAACATTAGTAACCAGAACGGGATTCGTGATTGAGAATGGAATTCCACAAGCCTTTATTATAGAATTATATGAGCTTAAGTTGTATGAAAAACATTTCGTGATATTGTGTTGTCTAAATGTCGTATGGTCTAGATCCAGCGCATATTGGCCCCAGTGAGTAAGACTATTGGCAAAGCAATTACATTGTTTTAAGGGAAATGATTCATATAGATGAATCTTTACCTTAAGTTCTAATCTGTCAGTTTAATAACCTTCCCTCATTGAAATAAAAACTTACCCAAATCAGCATCAGTTGCAAAGACACTATTAACATATGAGCTAACATCAGTGTCATAACGAATCTCCCAATTCCAGTATGGCTTATCAAAGAATGGAACGTTGTCGTCCACATTGAGAACAGTCACATCTACTGTCGCCATGGTTTGTTGTAATGGGGATCCATTATCTGTTGCTACTACGGTGAAGGTAATCATTTCTCCAACTATCTCTAAGTCAATTGACTGAGTTACAGTAATATCTCCAGTTAGAGTATCAATGTCAAAATATAGGCTTGCTGGTTGGATTGTGTATGTGATAAGGTCGGCAACATCATCATCAATGGCCAGAACCTGAAGTACCAGCGTACCATATAACTCCATTTCAAGAACAGAAGTTGTGTAGACTGCTTGGGTGAATACAGGCGCATTATCGTTGATGTTCTGCAGATATATATTGACATTGAGATAATCTTTCCCATCTGATGGATCAGTCACGGTGAATGTAATTGAGAATGGTTGAGGAAATACAGCTTCGTAGTCCATGATTTGAGCTACACGTAGTTCAGGAGTAGAACCCCAAGTAAAGCTGAAGTAGGGAGAATATGTATCTCCGATCATGACGAAATTCAGGTCAGTTAGTGCATCGTCGACATCAATTACTGCCCAGTTGATTGGTACTACTGTTCCAATAATCTGATGGACGGATGGAAAGGGCGTGAAACCTTATTATGGGAAACAAATGATCAAACGTATTCTTCTAAAATACTCGGTAAATGTTGATAGTATGAAACATCTAACAATACAATACAATACAATAATTCGAGTGTGGTCCAGCTCAATCTTATTTATTTGTTCATTAAAATAAACATTAAATAACATTCCTAAGTTCTCCCCATTCTTACCCCGTGGTCAATGTCAGAGCCGTTATTTCCCAATAAATATAACAAGAGTTGTTCTTGTGTGAAAGGTTTCACGTGTGGTGCTTGCTAATATGTATGTAGGTATGTATGTAGAACTGACATCTCCTCGTCTCGTCTGCGCTATATAGAGACGGGTGGGGGTGCTATAAACAGCAATATATCCTTAAATACAACAATAAACCGCAATTAATCAAATCTGTTTAAAATCCGATGTTTGTATAGGTTGAATTTTTATAAGTATTGTTATTTTTGTTTATTTTTTGTTTAACTTGATGTTATTTAGATTTTGTGTTATCGTATCTTGATAGTTAGTAACAAATTTTAAAAATGAAGCCTATGCCTACATCGAAATTTAAGCAGATTGCAACTGTTTTGTATTGACATGTTCGTAGTAAATATTCAATAATTTTTAATAATGCTCTTAGCAAAAATAAACAATTACAAATATAGACTGGTTATGTAAGTCCCCCAAATATTACAAATTGTTCTCTTGATGAGCACTAACCTGTTCTTCGTCGATGAGAATGTCTTGATTATCGACCACAAACCTAGGGGGTTCATCGGTGTTCGTTATATCAACATTAAGTGTACCAGTAGCTGTGAATTCACCATCAGTTGCCTCCAACACAATTATATACTGGTCTATAGTCTCAAAATCAAAACTGGGATTATTGGATATCTTTATACGACAGTCATTGTTTGCTGAAATAAAATATAAATATACAAATCTTAGCTGATATAATAGTTATTGCATATTAAATCATTTAATTTCATTGGTGTTAGTTGGAAATGGCGTCACTTACTTGTATTACTTATGTAAAATTTTCCTTGCCCACTTGCCGGGGAGACAGTTATGGAATATCTCAGATCATCACCATCTATATCATAACCATCGGCCACATAGATTTCAGCTGAATTGATAGCATCTTCTGGTACAGTAACGGTGGCAGGCAAGTCTGTAATTTCTGGTGCTTCATTCTCATCTGTGATCTGAACCGTTAATTTATGTGGTATCCCAGCATACATTGTGTCATGGCATGTCACAGTAAGTATGTATTCATCCAATGCCTCAAAATCCAAAGTAGGTGAATCGATTACGTAGATAGTATTGGCTGTGTGAAAACAGATATTTATATCATTGTTAACCTGAAAATTAATAAACTACTCAAGAACAAAAACATTGTCTTAATTATCCTCATCACTAAATAAAATACAATTGTTAAATAATAAGCTGCATAGAAGACTGTACATATGCAGTGCGTGTAGATATTAGAATAAATGACATATATAGTCATCAGGAAATATTATGCTAAAAAGTATTATACTTACTGGTTGTATTCATGTAAAAATTACCGTCGTTTGGATCAGAAAACATGACGCAAAAATAATCATCTTCATCGTCATCTTTAGCTTGTACAACAAATATAGCCGACCCTCCTGAACTCATTTCACCAATCTGTATAGTGTCGTCTAGATTAGTAATATCGGGACCTGTATTGACATCTGTCACCCAAACATGTAAATCTCCAGTATCAGTAAGACCGTCTGGATCAGTGATATATATAGTTATGGTCCAGAATGTTCGCTCTAAATAATTCAATCCCGGTGTTACCACTTTAATATTACCTGAAATCAGATGTACTTCGTTATTACTAATGTTTTGCGTTAAGAATGTTCGATACAGTTCTTAAAACATTTATAAATTTCTTATTTTTTGTACGTTGTAAGATTATACTGATATAAGGTATTGTCAAACAAACAGGCGTCA